TGGTGACTGCCAACACAACATTAAACACACACTACACACACTTAGGGTCCAGCTAATTTAAGTGCACATTTTCTGCTTAAATATAAAAACTGAAACACTTTTTCTGTCCTTTGAAGGTTCATTTAATTTATTTTTTATTGAGAGAAATATTTTTCTTCACAAAACGTTTTGGGTTTCTGAACTGAATTCATCACTTCCCAAACATCTTCAACAGTGTAAATTGAAAGAAATAACCCTTAGAAATACTCACTAACACACCACACACACACACACACACACACACACACACACACACACACACACACACACACACACACACACACACACACACACACACACACACACACACACACACACACACACACACACACACACACACACACACACACACACACACACACACACACACACACACACACACACACACACACCCCTGTACCTGTGAGAGCTGTACAATCAGTGCCATATCAACCAGTGTGTTTACCATGTGGGCGACAGAGAGGCAGACACTGTTTCTGGATTAGGCTACACTGTGGTGTGTGTGTGTGTGTGTGCGTGTGCGTGTGCGTGTGCGTGTGCGTGTGCGTGTGTGAGTGAGTGAGAGAAAGACAGTGTGAGAGAGAGAAAGAAGGGTCCAACTCAGCCATTTTGTAACAGGTGACTCTGCGGTTGCCGTCGTTCCTCTTCCCTGTGCATGTCAATCTTTGTACACTCCCCAGATCGCAAGTTTAGCCGACACAAGCTCTCTGACTCGCTCATGAACATTTGTAAAAATATATATAAATATTTAAATTACTTTTCTTGTAGGCTTTCAACTATATATATGTTCAATCCCTACCTTCTAAAAATGCTGGTGTTCAATAAAGACAGTTGCTATGTGTTCTACTATTTACTCTGGTTTCATGATGTACTGCACACACACACACAGACACACAGACACACACACACACACACACACACAATACTGTGGACAATCCCCACAGGAGCAATTTGGGGTGAAGTGTCTCAGGGACACAACGACATGCTGACTGCAGTGGGGTTTGAACCTGTGACCCCCTGATCCCAACACCAAGGCTCTATCCACCGCGCCACACGCCTCCCTCCACACACCATGTATACATCACTTCAGGGGGCATTACATTGACTGACATGCATTTCCTGGAGACATATCCTAACCTTACCCATAACCAACACATGCCTAACCCTAACCTATTCTTCACCCTAAAATTAATGATTCCCCTCATGGGGACCTCCATTTTGTCCCCATGAGGGAGGCGAGTCCCCACACGTGACTGATTTAGGTCCCCACAAGTATAGTAATGCTAGGCCACACACACACACACACACACACACACACACACACACACACACACACACACACACACACACACACACACACACACACACACACACACACACACACACACACACACACACACACACAGCATGTTTTAACAGACAGAAGGTGACAAAAGAGCAGAAAGGAGGCCGATCAAAGCCAGTGAGTGTGAATTATCCAAACAAGTTCACAGTGTTACAATTATAAAGTCACAGTCCCTCACTAATGTTGTGAACAAAGGCTTTACCTACACAAAAGTTCAAAAGCCTCCTTTGTAGATGCGAGCATGTGTGTTTCCTTTTCGTCTGAGCGACTTCTGTCAGGTGCTCTGCTTATTTATTTGTGATGATAAAACAGAGAGGATCTGCTGCATGGCGTCTCCATCCGGGCTCTGTTTACTCTTTAATATTCCCCTCATTTAAAAAGAGGTCACGTTCACCGCACAACACAAAAATACATAATCAGACAGGATGCATTTACAGTGATGCCTGCGCCGGTTTGTCACCCTGAATCAATGCAAATGGAGCCTCAGGTGGAGGAGTAATAGCAGCAAAGAGAGGAGGAAGTGACACGGGTGCACAACGCCAGGATGCATTCCCAGTCATGCTGTTATTGTTTGGTCTGCTTTTTGACAGATGGTGTTATCCCACAAATACACACACATGCAGTCAATGTTTTATGATGCTGGGACAAAGCTGAGCCATTGTTGATGTGGAATGCATCATGACAAATAGCAGGTTTTTTTTTTTTTTATAAGAGCAACACTAGGATGATCCCAATTACAACGGAGTGATTTTTGTAGACATACTGACACCTGCAGTATTTCTGTCAATGAGAGTGTTTCTCTCCAATCTAATGAAACATAAGGGATCAAAGCAAACCTGCAACAGTTAAAACCAACGTTTATTCTAGCAAGTACTGTGATATGCAACCACATCTTTGCATAACTGCCAAAATGTCCCTTTTGTGCTGACATTATCCTTTGACAAGTCCTTTATCAAGCAAAAACGTATCATTATCACCATTCTCTGTTTGTGGTTTCTCACATTCGCTGTTTTTCTCTGAAGTTTCCATCACTGCAAACAGAATATTGGTCATTTCTTGGCTGTTTGGACAAAACAAGCAATGTGACAATATCACCTCTGCTTTTGGTAAAAGGGAATTCTCACTATTTTCTGAAACTTTAGGGACTAAAAGCTTACGGGAAACCTTATCCAATGATGAACTGATGGAACTGTTTTGTTTATAATCCTCATTTCCCTTCTATGAATATGCAATATTGTTTAATAACTGATCTACTTAGAGCAGGGGTGTCAAACTCAAATACACAGTGGGCCAAAATAAAAACATGGGTACTAGTCGAGGGCCGGACTGGTTCAATGTTTATTGCAGAACTTATTGAAATGAACTTATTGCACATATTAAACCTGGAACTAACAAAGCTTAAATGATTGCCTATAAAAACAACATTAAACATTAAATAATCAGTTGCAGTCATTTCTTATGATTACATTTTTCCACGGGCCAACAACAGCTTCAAAAAAACTATTTCCCTCAAAGAACAAACCAAACATGCCCTGTTGTCGTGAGAGAAAAAGTGCAGAAGGAAACATCCATTGAAACTCGGTGTGCTGCTTTGTGATGCTAGTTCAAGCCAGATACTTGGCATCTCATCTTGGGTGCAAGTTCATCAATGTTTGGGGTCAGGCTCTGAGCTGAGGAGACCCTCAGGATTGAGTGAAGGTGTGTGTGCAATATACCGGCGGGCCAGATCTAATAGTAATTAGAAATTATCCTGCGGGCCGAAATTAAATCCACCAAGGGCCTGATTTGGCCCCCGGGCCTTGAGTTTGACACATGTGACTTAGAGTTTATTTACCAAATCCAGGTTTTCTATCACAAGAAGCAGCACTGTAGTGCCTCTGTATTGTTTCAGGGTTTTACTTATTCAAACATCCTTATCCAAAACCATCTCTTCAATCTAAAGCAATGGATGTCTAGCGTTTTCAACAAACGTTAACATTAAAATCCTTTTGCCCCTAAATACATTGATCTTCAAACACTTCATGAAGCCAAATGAAAGAAAAGGGAGTCTGAGTAACATTCACACACATCATATTTCTTAGGATGTGGTTTGAAATGTTTACACACAGCAATGTGTTACCACAGGAAGTCCAATTTGACTTTAAATCAACATTTTGAGACATAGAAGGTACCCAAATGTTGAGATTTTAAAAGATTTCAAACATTTGTCTTGTTGGGCTACAGAATAGTATAAATGTATGTTGCTTTTGTTTTTTATATGACATGTTTTAATCACATTTTAGTCTCAGATGCTGGGAGGAACTTCAATCATATTTGGCTGATATGGAAGAATCCGCCTGATATATAATCAAACTCATGAATCTGCGAGTAGAGATGTAACAGAGTGATGAAGCAGAGCAGCTTTCTAAATTGGCCCTTTGATGGTTGCTGCATCTCACTGGAGGGTACACACACACACACACACACACACACACACACACACACACACACACACACACACACACACACACACACACCACACACACACACACACACACACACACACACACCACACACACACACACACACACACACACACACACACACACACACACACACACACACACACACACACTTAATCACTCTTTTGTCTCTTATTACTGGATGATAAACATGTAATCCCTGTGAAAGTCATCTCTGCTGACCCCGACTCAGAATAATAAGCAACTCGATCAAAAATGAGCCGGGGAATGAAATCGATGCATTGCCTGTGCCGGAGTTTCTGTAAATTGACAAACGGACAAGAATGAATCATAAGTTTGACATCAGAAATGCATAATGTGATGGGGCGGCCGATGCATTATTCACACAGGCTATTGATTGCATTACAATGCAGCGCTCCGTTATCTCCATCAGGCATTCAATGTTCTCCTTTTCAGTGTGCATCCTTTATGATCAATCTAATTAAAAGGCATGCATCACTTCAGTGCAGATATTTACACATGGAGCTCTAACATCCAAAACACACACTAGGAAATTCTTCAACTGCATGCAATGATTTCTGCCATTTATATAGAAGTGAATTAAACAGTGAGGTCTCAGAGGGACTATAACTCCTGCTGACTGCGCCCCACAGTCACGAAAAGCAAAATCTGCCAACTTCTAAGCCCCCTCTCTGCAGTCTCCATCCTCTGAAGATATAACCCCACCCCCCCCCCCCCCCCCCTGCTTCTCTGATAAAACCTCTTCTTCCTCTGTCCTGATCCCGTTCAGGAACATTCAAGGCCTTCTCCTTAGCTGCTGTCCTCACTGTCCCTCTCACACTGTCACACACACACACACACACACACACACACACACTGTGACACACACTGTGACACACACTGTGACACACACACACACACACACAGTGACACACACACACACACAGTGACACACACACAGTGACACACACACACACACACACACACACACACACACACACACACACACACACACACACACACACACACACACACACACACACACACACACACACACACACACACACACACACACACACACACACACACACACACACACACACACACACACACACACACACACACACACACAAAACTGCAAGACACCCCCAAATCCAGGAACGCTGTATTCTACATGTAGTACCTCTGCTGCTTCCAATAGTTCGATCCTGAGAGGAAAGGGGATGTGGAAGCGTTGGTTTTTTACAACTGTAGTATATTGGAGTTTGGTTGAGGGGTTAGTATGAATACAAGTCTTATTTAAGGTTTTATTGAAGACTTCATATATTAGAATGCTAATATATTATTTAGTCATTTGATCTTTCCCTCTTCTGTAAGCATCTAACAGAGTCATGCAGATGGTCACTGGTGGTCTGCAAACACTGAAAAAAACGAGTTTTGTATGGTGTTTCGAATGTATTGGAGGAAGTCTTGAGCACGTAAATGTTTACATGAGTTAGTTTACTGTAGTTGATATAGTACTGTAGTAACACAGGCGCTAAATACATTTGTTTAATTCTGTTTTATTTAAGGCTTGACTGGCATCCTTCATTAGATGTTTTACACCTGCTATTTTCCTACACTGACATGTCAAAATGTCTGCTGTAAAAGAGGGCCTATGATTTGTTTATATGTAACATAATTGTTTTGCTCAATCCAATTGATCCTTGAACCGATTACAGACGTTTACAGATTTCCATGCTGATAGTGTATCAAATACATGCTGTACTCCATGTTGCATTATTGCTGAGCCTGTAACTCTTTGTGTGGTGTTCTAGTGCGACCTAGTGGTCAAAAGCAGAACTGCAGCTGGTGTCTGTTTAACTTCATGTTAACTGGATCGGATTAGAAAATGAATTCCTGATCAATGTAGACAAAAACATTAAGATATCTTAAGATGTTATGATAATGGTGAAAGAAGGAGTGAATGAGGGCTGTATTACTGTGTGATGCATATGGTCACCGTGCTGGAAAGTCACCACAAAGTTATATAAGGAAGTTACGAATGTTGCATATATTATTAAAACAGTATAAAAGGTCGAAAAATAAAGAAAAACAATACAATCATGAAACCTAGATTCTTAATCCTTAATGTCTACAATAAATTGCATTAAAAAATGTACTGTAAAATACAAAAGGAATCCGGATGAATACTTGGCTTCATGTCCTTCTCTTCAGGTTTTTTTAGGCAGATGGTTATCACATTTAATTTGACAAACCATCAAATGTTTGCACAACAATATGTGATGCAGAGTTTGTCCTTAGTGATACATAATTGGTGCTACAATAAATAGTAGAGTACACAGTACTACACAATATTTTTGAATTCACTGCACTAGTGCACTGCAGTTCTCTTTGCTACATCAGAAAAAACATGACACATGTTGTCTAATCAAACATGACCCTGAGCAACAGTGGAGACTGAAAATGAAATATCAGTGTCCCTCAAACAGGTGAGTTAAAACATATGACCACACTGCTCCTCCTGACCTAAATCCCATTTAGAGAAGAGCGGAAGATAAATATCTATTTTATTTGATTGATGGTTGCAAAGAAAAGGCACGGAGCAGATAGAGCAGCACTAGGGTGACATGTGTGTGTAATGTATGCTGATACATTGTGTGTCAAAGCCTGCAGGACAGCGACCAGAAACATGCCTCCAGACCTCCAGACTGTCAGGACATCTGTCACTGCTGACAGTCATATGCTCTGCCATGTGTGTGTGTTTTACTTTAAGAGATTGTGGTGTGTGTGTGTGTGTGTGTGTGTGTGTGTGTGTGTGTGTGTGTGTGTGTGTGTGTGTGTGTGTGTGTGTGTGTGTGTGTGTGTGTGTGTGTGTGTGTGTGTGTGTGTGTGTGTGTGTGTGATCTTTGGCAGCGGGTTATTCCAGAGAACGGAACAGCCGTGCATCTTAAACATTCATGTCTGGTTTCCTCAGCGGCAGCTTTTCTGTTTTTTTCATCAAACATCAAACTTGCTCAACAATGGCGGCCTTCATCGGGGTCACTAAGGACATTCTATATATTACAAGCGTTTTTGCTTTTTCAGACCTTTTCACTTGATCCATGCTTTTTGGAATTAAGTGAAGAAACACCAACTCTGCTACCAAAGATTTTTAGACATTTTCTGGTCAAAACGTGTATTACCTTGGAAAGAAATCAAATGTTTGGACTGTAAATAACATACACATACATTAGTGTTTAGTTATAATGCCCTTTCTTTCATTGAAAAATAATTATTCTACAAAGAAGCGAGTTTTGATGGGTGGATGCATGTTTAGTCTTAGGACACTAGGGGGCGTAGTTGGCACACACTTGGATAAAGTCCCACTTGAAATAAATATGGGGATGTTGAAGGGGTTTACAATGGTTAAAAAGATTCAAATATTAAACAAAAATATCTAATTTAATATATTTTTTTAATTTAAGATTACTAAGAAACGTAACGCAATGGTGTTATTTGATATGACTTGAAAAGAAAATATTTTATAGGCATAAAAAAATGACATTATGCATCTTTGAAAATGTCTTCTTCGAATGCTTGAGAAGATATATTTTAAATAAAATTATTTTCATATCAGTAAAAAACTTCTTTAAAATTCTATTACTGAGATAAACTGGATATTAATTATTTGGATATCCAATATGGTAATAAATGTCTTCATATATAGTACTTATTGTCTATAACACCTATACGATATAATTCAGTGCAATGTCATACCTGCCAATTAAATGCTGTTAAACCCTTCAACATTCAAGTGCAGTATCCTATAGGAGTAGGTATTGCATTGTGTTTTGTACATGCATCTCACACAGGCCTATGTGACATGAGTGTGAGATATAACATACATCCTGTAATACTAAGTGGGAAATGTACACTGATAAAAATACTACTTTTTTGGCCCCAACAGTGTTTGTTGGATACACTGTGACCATTACCAAGTCAGCTGAAACATGTGTATACTTTAACACCATCATTGTATATTTGACTGGAAATGATGACACAAGATCAAGTTATTATCCATTACTCCAACTACCAGAAATTGATGCACCTTCCATCACTGATCAAAGTGAGTCCTGTAGTGTAAATATGCAGTATAGTGTCATACAAATATATAGGCACATATCAATTCTGCACAAAGAGTTCACTGAATGCTTGGAAGAATATAATATTAATGTGAATTCTATCTGTCCTCACAGTGAACAGGTTTTAACCCAAATCTACAACCACAAGAGATTTTGCATCAACAAGTTAAGATGGCGCTCTCCTCTGCCACCATCACAACACCGAAAGAGGGAACACATGCACATCCCTCTCATAAAGACAACGAATTGAACCAATCTTAAGGGGCTATGATACAGTTTTAGAGGCTTGTGTTATTGATGAGGTTAGTCAGGAATATAATGATTATGTCCTGGAATGATTGCTATTGTTGTCTTCATGTCCAACAACCAAACCTAGGTGTTCAATGTCTGACATTTAGGAATATTCGAGAAAAGGGAGCCACAACTATAAATTGGACTATATATGTGTATGCATGTTCCCTGTTGAGTAGCAACAGCCAAAGTTAAAGTACACTAAATAATGTCCCCTTTTAATCCTTGCTGCATATTCTTCCCAAACATTCAAATAGACATCACAATGTGTCTCTTAGGTCACCAAGTTGTTCAACCTGCAACATACATGAAAGGCGTTTGCTAACTGCTCATGCTTTCATTTTGAAAATGACAAAGGCTGCACGATAAATAAATGAAACATCTGTTCTTTGTATTTGCTGCTGCTCATAGATGGAGAGCCTGCTGCTGTCTTTACATTACAGGGGTTTCCCATTCACAAAGAGAGAGAGAGAGGGGGGGGGGGGGGGGGGGGGGGAGGGAGGGAGGAGAGACTGAGAGAGAGAGAGATGAGACTCCTCTTCCTCACTTGGCTGCATTCGGTTTACCGACACCGGAGAAGCGACCATGCTGTGGAAACTAGTTGAGAATGTCAAGTATGAAGATATTTACGAGGTAACGTTTCCCGTCTGTTTGTGCTCTGCAGGATTTATTACACGCTTTTTTCTGGGGAATAATGCAGTGTTGAGATAACGGAGGTATTGCATAAGGCTTTTAGGCCTGATATTCTGTGGTGTGCTGGTTGTGAATATGATTTGGAGGAAATGTAACTACAGGACAAATTCGTTATGACCGATATTTGATTTGATTTGTGGTCCATTTTTGGTAAAATGTGTTGGTATTGTGTTGCTAGGTGTATGGTGTACGTCCACTCACTTTCTGGATCATGGTAAAACGGAAAATAATATTTTTTGACAGTGGATATTGACTTATTGTGTTTTTAAATTTCTTTAATTTTGACGTATATATTTTAAATATGGGACTGCGTTTTTGTGCAAAAATAAAGTTTAAGAGTAACGTTAAACTACTTTGATTAAAATAATGATTTACCTCTTAAATTATTATTTTTAAGCTATTTAGAAATAAAAAAACTGTGATGCTGCATCCAAAAAAAGTCAATTTTAGATTTGAAAATACCTCCTAATAATATAAATAGAAGCACTGGGTCAGAGTGTTTGATGATGTGTCAGAAGTATGTAAATCATTTGGCTTTGATCCAAGAACAATTATTTTTTTATTTCAAACAAGCGAGGGAAGAAATACCGCCGCACGCGGGGGTGAAATAGTGCTCCGGCTCGCGCTCAATGGGCTCGAGCACAAAAGCTCGTGAGGCCCCTCGTCTCAGCCCGGTGGGAAACCCTTGTCTCGTGCCGCACATGGCTTTTCTCCCACGGCGCGAGGGAGGGGAGGCTCTAATGTTGTTAAACAAGTCATCCAAGAGAGAGGGGTGGGGGGGTGGGGGGCAGTGTACAATATAAAGTTTAATCGCTTCTTTTGACTCGTGACACCATTCACGCGAGCCCCTCGTGCGCCCTGTAGTGTCTCGGGTGTGTGTGTCAAGAGGCAGCTGCAATGAGACACCGTTTATTCAGTGTGTGTTCTTTAGTGTGTGTTCTGGCAGGATGAAGTTTAGCTTAAATAAATTGGGAGGATTGGAGAAAAATCTTCATAATTAACCACCTTTGTGCAGGTATAAGATAATATACTCCAGTAATTTAGTGTAACATCAAGTCTGACATTGTTCTTGCATCATAGCAGCTCCATTTGCAACATCAAGAGGGACAAATATTAAGACAAGAATACAAGAAACCTGACTTATTAAATAACATTACAATCACTGAGGGCGATGTGTTCAAGACTCTTTAACGTACAATGGATCTGGGATCAAGCTCTGTATTTATTGTAGGATTGGCTGGTGCATAAAGAGTGCTTCAGTCTAAACATTTTAAATATTGGGACCCTGTATCTCGGATTTAATGGCAACAATTCATATTCACTGTTCAGGACATGGCTGGGGTTGGAGACAATGTTGTTGGCAAATCTCAATATTTTATTATTGTAAGTTGGTTCGGAGTTTCTCAGAGGGTTGCACAGATTGGTGAAGCAGCTTTGAGTTTAATGCTTTGGACCAACTCTTGTACCATGCTTTGAAATACTACAGGAATTTTTCAGTATGTTGTGGCTGTGCGTAAAAGTAGAATGGCTTTTACTTTGGTGGCTACATTGCATTGGCAGGATAATGTATGTATCACAGATTCAATCTTAATGTCATGGTTAAACACCATCTTCTGTTTAAATTGTTACATCTGACAACTGGATTCATGTTGGTTTAAAACGTCAAAGTCTGTTTGCAGTGATGGTGTGTGCCAAAGTGTCTCCAACGGCGAGAAAGCGAGTATTCCCTGCGTCAGATTTGTACTTATATGAAAAAGCTCCCAAAGTGCGTTTTTTTTTAATAATGAGGAATTCCTCCTGGGTGTGCTCGCCCTGTTCGCTTTCTCCTGACAGAGAGGGCTCTCTCCGTCTCGTGCTGTTCGCGTCGTTTCTCCTCTCCACGGAATCTAAACGTCACTCACGGTTGCGCGAGAGGCTTCACGCTCCATGTGTCGCCAGTCCCCTGCCTCGCGCACATTAATATTCCTGTAAGTCTCAGTCATGAATAACAATTACACCGTATACCGGGGGTAGAGGCGGTGCTCGGTGGCTCACAGTCAGAGCGACGGCTGCTCGGGGCGGAGAAGGATTCTGCTCACCGGCCCTGCCTGCAGACACTCGCTTTCTGGAGCCAACACTTTACCATCCAGCTGTTTTATGTTAAATGTTCAAATGTTAGTTCACTCCTACTCCACCGCGGTGAGTTTCCTTCCCTCACAGTGTGTTTCTTTATACTCTGTTTTGTCTTGCACTATTTTTATTGTTTTATGCCTATGCATATTTATGTTGCATTGTTGGAGGAGCCTGGGATTTAAGATTGTCATTGCCATAACTACACTGTAGATAATGTGCATATGACAATAAAGCGTTTGAATCATTTGCACAAATCGGTAGAGACTGCTCGGAGGTTTTTCGTTCTGAGATTTAAATTAGACACATTTTGCTTTTGGCATCTATTGTGTTTTTTGTAAAGGAGATTTACTTTGGCTACATCACCAGGCAATATGCTCTTAAAATGCATCATGGACCCTAGGCCTCTTTTTGGTTTTATTTCGTTATAAAAAGGTGGTTCCATTTCCGTATGGAGTTTATTTATTCTGTGTTTTCCTATTCAAGGACCGGCATGACGGTGTCTCGAGCCACAGCTCGCGCCTGTCCCAGCTGGGCTCGCACGCGGGACCCTACTCCAGTGCGCCCCCGCTGTCTCACGCACCGACCTCGGACTTCCAGCCGCCCTACTTTCCGCCGCCGTACCAGCCGCTCGCTCACTACCAGAGCCAGGACCCGTACTCCCACGTCAGCGACCCGTACACCCTAAACTCGCTGCACCAGAGCCAGCAGAGCGCGTGGGGCGCGCGGCAGCGGCAGGACGCGGCGGTGGAGCGGATGGATAGCTCCGCGCTGCTGGCACAACCTCGGGCCTCGCTGTCTCAGCTGTCCGGGCTGGACCCGCGGAGGGACTACGGTGTGAGGCGGCCCGATGTGCTGCTGCACCCGGGCCTGGACGGGATGGGAGACGGTCTGCTGCACGGGCTGCACGGCATGGAGGATGTTCAGGTGAGGCAGAGGAATCTGAGGATTACATGGAATCGAAAAGTGAAAATTATGATGATTTTGTTTTTATTGTATAAAAAGTTGTTTTAAATATATTTGGATTATTATATCCCGAATGGTAAAACCTGAAAGTCAGGGAGCAACTAGGTCTGTTTGACAAAATGGGGAATACAGTTATAATGCAATATATTATCTCAATAGACGTGTATGCATTTTAATCATTAATTCAACCCATTCCTATTTACAGTAAAATATTTCTATGTTTACCTAACATATCTATATCTATCTCAAGTGGGTAATAATTGAAAACACTATTCTGTTACAAAATAATTTCCCAATTTGGGATGAAAGTATAATCGATTCACTCGGTATATGAACTTTGGATGGCAAATTTATCTAGTTTTGGATGGCACGAAATAGCTACTAAAAAATAAACTATACAGGAGAGGGATGGGTAATTGTTGGCGGTGGTCTCCTTCATTGTCTCGGTGCTTTAGTGTCGAGGTCAGTGATCTCAGATCAGCTCCCTCAGGGCTGAGCTCTCTGCAGCTGAAGCCTGAACACAAATGGCCCAAAGCTAAACCAACTGTCTTCAGAGAGCTGAGACATCTCTGGTGAGAAGATGCTGATATGGAGAATATTTCAAAAAGTGCTGCATGGAGCTCAAATGTTGCTTATGTGAATTAGAATTTAAAATCACCCTTCTTTACTGCCTTGTGTTGCCTAATGATTAATCCATAGTTAAGCCTTGAGGATATGCTGTTAATTGGTCATTTAAACATGAAAGGAAACAATTCAATGTTGTGCACACATGTTTTATTATTATTTTTATTATTTACAATATTTTATTATTATTTGTAATTATTATAATTATATGAATTTATTATTATTAGTATTTATATTATTAAATCCATGCTCATATTAATGTGGTTAGTTAATTCTTTAAATTTGAAGGATGTCATTTTTGGTTTATAGGATATTATGTACACGCTTTTATTTTTTATAAGGTACCAAATATACAAAGCAGCTACCAGAGACTTTATTGTCATCTGTGAAGGATTTCATCTTCCTCTGTTTTCCCCTCAGGGCACAACCATCACGAATTGTTTGCCATTTAACCTCCACATTACATTCTCATTTCTGCCTTTACGTAGTTGTGTCATGCATTTATTAACCCCGTTTAAATTTGTTTTAACAAGTCCTATTTTATTTTATACGAGCGTGACAACAGCAGGTCTATTCAAAGAGCAATCTATCTCGCAGGCTGATGAATGAGAGTGATGAATGAGGCTTTAAATTTGGGAGAACACATTATTCTCTATGAGTCACGTCATGATGAATAAAAAGAGGAAATGGATTATAATCCAGATGTGTTTGTTCTGTGGAAAACAGACAATGTTTCCCCTGCTTTTCGAGACCTTACATTTAAATGAATCCTGCAATATTTAGCAAAAAGATATAAATATATACTTTTTTATTACACTCTGGATTCCTTTGTACGAAGCACACTATTATATTGCTATAATGGTTTGCATTTATTTTGGATCTACCAGACTCTTGACGACACCAACGGAACGAACATCCTTGATCAATCAGTAATTAAGAAAGGTAAGACACAAACAAACACACACACACACAAACACCACGTCTCAACTCTTAGATATGTTGCCAATAGTTCTACAATATGACAACAATGACTAGATTTACAAATATAAAAAATGTTCACCAAAAACATAAATGAATACATATCTGGATTTATTTAAATAGATTGTTGTTATATGTTTTTAAAATAGACATAATAGGGCTGCTCGCCTATTTTGAAGTTCCTTTCGTGCCTGTACCAAATTATAGACTAATTTATGTTGTCATATGACGTGAATTACAATGATTTATGTTCTGTAGAGCCAATAAAAAAAAAAAAGGCACAACTCTGATCTAAAGTGGACCAGATGTACCTCGATGCTTTGGGAAGTAAAAGGTGGATCTCTGTGGGTTCATCCTGTTTTTCCGGTGCCCAGGATGAGGATTTCGTGCATGGGTTAACGATCCCGGTATATTGACTCGCAGGCGGAGGGTCGCTGATGATGTGCGGTGATTTAGTTACGGGATGTTGAGTGACTGAGCTCCCCGCGGGGCATTTAAGCCGCTGATGTAATAAATGGCACCGCTCACGAGCTCACGGAGATCTCGTGAGCTCGTTTACAGCTAATCTGCGGTATTATCCCCCGTGGAGCCATCAAACCCCCCCCCCCCCCACCCCCACACTGTGCCCCTGTAACACTGAGCCTGGACCCCCCCTGTGGCCCCCCTCCAAAAGTATAAATTTATGATAATGCAAGTGTATGTCGCAGCAAAGACTGTGCTGTAACCTGGGCCAAAGTTAACAGGGATGTTTCCCCCCTATTCATTTAACGAAAATTGCAATTTAGTCATTGACACAAATTCTGTCACACAAAAAAACGAGGGAATTCAATTTGAGAGCGAGAGCCAATCAACAATCGATACTATTGTAATGAGACATTAAATAACAGTAAATGCCCGGCGCGTGGGCACTTCATTGGGCCAGGGCTCCCTCCTGTAGTGCGCGTGGTCTCAACAGTATCTGTGGATGCTTTACTCGAGTAGAAAGTATACACATTAATGTCAAAATACTCCATTACAAGTTAAAAAAAAAATTACAATCAGCAAAATGTACCTAAAGTGTAAAAAGAAGTAATCATTGTGCAGAAGAATAGCCTTCATGTGTGTGTATATAATTATATTTACATAATGTGACATTACTAGATGATATTGTTGCATCAAATTACTGTTGTAGACAAAGTTCTGATTGTAAAATTTGTAAACTTGTAAAATAATGAAATAATTGGACTCTATCTAAAGAGATAGTTTAATTTGTAGAGATGCATTTTGGTAAAATAAGCTACAGCTGTTAAATAAAGTGGAGTAAAAGTGCACTATTTCCTTTTTAAGTGTAGAGGAGTAGAAGTATAAAGCAGCATACTCAAGTAAAATGTAAGTACCTCAAAATTGTACACAGTACTTGAGTAAATGTAGCCTACTTAGTTGCTTTACTGGGTCTCACAACGTTTGACACAATAGATTAAAACTCACAGCCCCCTTGTATTTGTTCGGAATTTTAAGATGCCTATCTTTCCCCATACTCTATCTTATGTGTATTCTGTATTTTAATTTATTTTTAATACGTGCAATGCCTTGTTTGCATGCTGCTGTGACTGAATTTCCCAAATAGGTCTCAAAAAAAGAAAAATCTAATTTGTTTTTTCAACGTTATGTAATGTCCTCTTTCAGTTCCCATGCCTCACAAGCACATGGGCTCCCTGATGCTCGGGAAGGACGGGCTGATGGGAGGCATCACCGTGAGCATTAACGAGGTGTTCTGCTCGGTACCGGGCCGCCTGTCGCTGCTCAGCTCCACCTCCAAGTACAAAGTGACCGTCGGGGAGGTGCAGAGGAGACTGTCTCCGCCAGAGTGCCTGAACGCATCCCTGTTGGGGGGCGTGTTGAGAAGGTACGACTGCAGCCTCAGAGCATGTTGACGCAGGGATAAAGTCTGGATGGAGAAAAAGCGTGTGGCTTCTTAAATATGCAGAGGAGATGTTTATTAAACCCTGAGTTGAATTCAAAGGCATCTGTATCTGAACTTCCCAGATTGTACGTAACATTAACACAATCTCTGGAGAACATGATGCAGAATAGAAACTAAAAAGACAACAACTTAAAAACCTAGACATGCACACATCAATAAAATGTATATTCCTTGATATATGTATATATTTAAACAGTGTAACCTAATTATGTTGTTATCTCATACTGTAACTTAATTATTGTATTTTGTCATTCTTATGTATCTTTGTGAGAAGATCTATGTCCAATGTGTTTCAATTTGGATTTTTGAACTTCCTATGGGAATATTGGTAATTTAATTGAATGCCTTGTGAGAGATATATATGGCATATATGTCCTGGTTCTTTTATAAAGCAATTAACATTAATTATTTCCCCATTTTTCTACAGAGCAAAGTCCAAAAACGGTGGGAGATGTCTGAGAGAAAAACTGGAGAAGATTGGACTGAATTTACCTGCTGGAAGACGCAAAGCTGCCAATGTCACATTACTAACATCTCTTGTAGAAGGTGATTGCTTTACTGTGTTTATCCATAAATACAGAAACATAATCCTTACTCTGAGATTGATTAATGGGGAAATTTGGCTCTAGAAGTCCAACATTTTATTTGCCCCCCATGACAAAGATTTCAACATCACCAAAAATTACGCACGGCCAAAATACAGGATTGCAAAGTTCATGACCTTGCAGGTTTGAAGAATGAGACTGTCTTTCTCAAATGGCTACAGACATTGAATACAAAGTAAATACATATTTTATTTTGAACGAGTGAAGAGAAGAGGACTGGGGTTAGTGAATTAAATGATTAACTCATTGATTAGAGGCTGCAGCATGGGCCTAACCGGTTTAAACCAACATTTTCATTGAGTCAGATGTTCCTGATCCAGCGTAATATACAAGTATATCAATATTTATTTCTACACTTTCAAAATATAATACAAATATATTTATGACCTACTTTTTTAAAAGACTTTTATAGGATTATGAAAACGTCTCCATTTTCAATGTGTTCACTCGTCTGCACAAAGCGTTATGCAAGAGCTCTCTCTTTTTTTAAATTCACGATATTAAAACAGTTAATTTGCACCTATAGTTGACTTTTACAACAACAATGTGGAAAAAATGACAATCGCTTTTGCTTTTGCTTTCTCTGAGAGGATGACAACTTAGGGAATTTCGTGCGTAAAAGGAAAGCATCCCAGTTTTAACACGTAAAGTCTTTGTATTCAGGAATCGCTATACTAAAACAGAAGGAAATGCATGATTGTCATGTAGCGATATTGTACGTCTATATACAATTCACCCTGACTATAACCTCCCCCCCCCCCCCCCAGGTGAGGCGGTGCACCTTGCCCGGGATTTCGGTTACCTCTGCGAGACGGAGTTTCCCACCAAAGCCGTGAGCGAGTACCTCAACCGGCAGCACGCTGACCCCAACGAGCTGCACACGCGGAAAAACATGCTGCTGGCGACAAAGTGAGTCTGATGGACCGTTTGATTAGATTCAGCTCCCTCATAGCCTTTATAGGGTGTTTTCTGTCTGTCATAGAATAGTATACATGTCTGATGCGCAGCACAGGAGATACCATGTGGTAAATAAGATTATTGCTTTCATTTCAAATGAGCCATTTAGGTACTTAGACACAATAACATGGCGGCATGCTAATGACACATATAGTCAGTCTGTCAACACAGAGGGGAGAAACATGTTTTTGTAAGGACACGGAGAGAGGGGTTTTTCCAGTAAATTCTCAACAAAATGAATTTACAAAGAAGTCCTGTAAGTCTCATAATATATCTAGTTCATGCTGTTCTTGTATGAGATGTTATCCTAATTAAATGTCCCAAAAAAAATGGTTTTAGGTTTACAGTTCCATGGGTGCCATTTAGAAAGGCTGTGGTTGCTGTTAATTTGAATTACATAACCGTCACACATACAGGGTGAAAACCAGGGCATGCTTCTTCTGCAAGTAGTTACATTTCTGATGAATGAAATTATTGTGAAATTAAACCCATTTTCCTGGGGGCTTCTCTATGGCCCCCTCTTTAATACCCCCGAGGGTGCAAACCTCCTCTCCTCTGCGCTTCACTCTATATCACACAGTCCATTTTGACACAGTGAGCCATGGCATTGACATTTAAAGAGGAAAGGGAGATTTTCTTAATGAAAAGCATCAAACTCTATATGGATGTAACCTGTAACGTAATGACTGATTGAAAAACCACAGAGGAAATTGAGGGCAGTTAAAGTAAATTCAACCGTTTACGAAATTAGGATCAATCTGCATTTAAGTCAAGAATCTTAAAAGCAAGGGGATTATTTTTGCCACATAAATAACGTTGTACTCAAGTATACACAAACCTTATTTGATGGACACTTTAATGTAGCCTACATAAGTCTCAGACATTATTAAATAGCAGCTTTGACGTTGCTGGTGTGCGTTTGACCTCTGCTTCTGGTCTTAAAGGCGATGGATTTTACTGGCTCTCCTCGTAGAGGTACTTATATTAATCCATTTTTTATGGCTGTTAAACTGTGGAATTGAATCCAGGATCTAGTGATTACTTTTAAAAACCGAGCAACATAGATTTTCTTTAAAGGGAAACTAGGCGAGGGAATGTGGTTTAAATCCCAGAATCACTTTGGATTTTTTCCTATTTTTAAAATGATCAAAAAAGCCTTTCGCCAATTAATAATGAACAGTCCTATTCTGTGTCCATGTATTCCCCTGAATGAGTTTTCTGGATACAAAAAAAAACGTTGCATGCAGAGCTGTAACAAAGAGCCCTTCAGGAAACTTGTAATTTTAGCTTGCATAAATAGTGCTGTCTGCTGGCCTGCATAAACCATCTGCCTGTGTGTGTGTGTGTGTGTGTGTGTGTGTGTGTGTGTGTGTGTGTGTGTGTGTGTGTGTGTGCGTGTGCGTGTGCGTGCGTGTGCGTGTCCCAATGTGATCAGTATGTACGGTGTGTTTCGGTGGTGGATGTTTGATGCTCAGATTCAAACCTGTTCCAATACTCGGTGTCGGTGCTGCCTGTTAGAAATTCATTATTTAGCAGTGAAGTGTTTCAAGTCGTCAGAAAACAACAGCGAGGCCCTGAGAGTCGCCCCGGGTGGAGCTCCTCCTCTCTGTTTCTCCTCTCTTCTCCTCTCTGCTCCCTAACCCCAGCTGGGCTCGGCCTGCACCGCCTGTCACTCATTTAGTGGAGCTCTGCCCTAAGGCCGCTCATTGGGTGTGTGTGTGTGTGTGTGTGTGTGTGTGTGTGTGTGTGTGTGTGTGTGTGTGTGTGTGTGTGTGTGTGTGTGTGTGTGTGTGTGTGTGTATGGTACACATTTTGAGAGAAAGAGAGGGAGAGAGAGGTCTCTTGAATATCAAATGTGGGCCTAAAACCAAGAGGATGATTTGCTGAAATGTTAAGGAGACGTGATTCTCTCTCACCGTTGCATTTTTTGTATGGAATTTGAAGGGAAGACTTAAGATGCATTTAATTACCTTTTGGCTTAAATTACATATATTTCCATTCAAACATTGGCTTTAAATGCTGGGGCCTCAAACCATGCGACTTCCTTGATCTTGTATTGGCTTCAATTAATTTTCTAGACATAAATATGGCATTTTTGTACAATGTCATATTGGCATTAGCCTTACATTTCTCTATACATTTATAGCGTTCTCTAATTTCCCGAAGATCATTAGTTAAACGTTAATGGTATGGGTTCAGAATAAGGTTTGAGAGAGTGTCCAATGGAGGCAGGAGCAGAAACAGTTTCCCTTTCAAATCAAATATATCTTTGATATGGATTGTGAACAGAAACCAACGATACACTTCTCAAGCCTTTGCCAGAACATTCTGTTGATGTTTTTAGGGATTTAAAGGCTCTTCTGGAGGCATCCTGTATAGCAGCTGCATCAAGTTCATGCCTCTTCCAACACAATTTCAAAATGTGGAAACAGAAGTAAATAGAGAAAAGTTGAAAGAAAGTTTGCTACTCTTCATTGCGAAATAAGTCTTGAAGGTAGGGTAGGTAAGTTTGAGAAACCGGCTCGAGATACACTTTTTGTTATATTCCATGGAATGCTCTTAACATCCCGATAGCAATGAATATCTTAAGTGCTTTGACAAAAAATACATAACAAAATGTCATCTGTGGAAGCTGTAATACTGTAAAAAGCACGACCAATCATTTTAGCCGGCCCGGCTAAAATAACTGGATGGCCTACCTGCCTGTCAGCCTTCCATCTGTGCACAAACTTATCTCGTGCCCTCATTGGTCATGTGCGCGTTCGTGTGTGTTGGAGGAGGGGCTCTGTAAGGAAGTGGCAGATTTTTTTCGGTTGTGTATTTTCAAATTCCAGCGCACTCGAGCTGGTTTCTCCAAAATTACCTACCCCACCTTTAAGGATACAGTTACACAACATGACTTAAAGGAGTTGAAAAGGGAAAGCATCAGGCTATTCTCCTTTGGGATGGATTTGGTACAAGCTGATAATTTAAGATAAGATAGTTAGTTTGGCACACAGCATTACGAGAGGCTGGAGAGTTTAGTTTCAGGTCCTTGCAGAGGGTGGGCAGTTAGCATATGATTCTGAGGGGGCTTTTTTATTGAGAATGTCACTGACAATCTTACATCTTATAATTAGCTCAGCACTTAAGCACCTACATGTCGCTATAGTTATTATTGGGTGTTTATGCTCAACTATAAGCAATCATTTCATCAGTGTGGGTTAAAGACTCTGTTCGGACCACTTTCCCACTCGATTTGTTATCCATTAAACCTCTGCAGCCATGATTTATTTGCACTTCGTAGCACTTTTAAGTTAGTACAACTGATAGCTAACACAACATAATAACATTTGTGATATTGGGCTGTATAAATAAACATTGATGGATTGAATCCTTTCAAACTGCAACATTATTGACACAATTGTTTTTTAAGTTGTTTTTCACCAAAGAACTGTAAAATTGTAATTTGTTTTCCGGCTCTGTTCGTTTTTTCTGTGTTATGAGTTGGTTATATTTAGTGTCAGGTATTGCAGGAACATCTATACAACAAATGCTGCCAAATACTCTCACCACAGGGGCATCGCAGTAAGGTGTTGACTGTGGATGATTTGGATGCATTTGCTGAGGCTTTTCAGCTAGTCATGGGACACGCATATACTGTCTACTGTTTTGGTGACGGGTTGGTATTGATAGGCATTTGAGTATTAATGGGATAGTGGCTACTCATTGTGCTTCTATATATGATGCATTTTGATTATAACTGCAGGAAACTAAAGGTGATCTTTTGATTGTGTTGGACATAGAGACAGGTGCAGTAGAGTGGCAAGATCAGAGAAAATGTGGTGTCAGCCTTTCCACTAATAACATACAAAAACAATGGATAAATGTTTGGCTAACAATCAAATTAATAATATAAATGAATAAAGGATACCAAATTGTCTTACTTATTGAGTGCAACTCAACGTTATGGTTGGTTTGCATGTGCAAAAACTTCCAGGGGACATTAAAACCCATCACATCCAGAAGGGACACATTGATACACATATACATACAGTAGAGAGACATTAGACTACAGTCAAACAAGTCCCACGTGCACACTGAAGCAAGGTTAATACATACTATGTACTGCCATTGAATAACCTATCAGCAGTAGTGTAACTATTTTAGGGAAACCCATATCTCCCTCCTGACATCTCATTGTCCCCCCCCCCCCCCTGCAGACAGCTGTGTAAGGAGTTCTCAGACCTGCTGGCCCAGGACAGGACCCCCCTGGGAAACTCTCGGCCGAGCCCCATCCTGGAGCCGGGCATCCAGAGCTGCCTCTCCCACTTCTCCTTCATCACGCACGGCTTCGGCTCGCCTGCCCTCTGCGCCGCGCTCACCACCCTGCAGAACTACCTCACCGAGGCCCTCAAAGGACTGGACAAGATGTTCATCAACAGCCCCCCCAACAACAACCGGCACGGGGACAACAAGGCCGACAAAGAGGAGAAGCAGCGGAAATGAAGCGAGGCGGGGGAGACGATGGGAGGCAGACACACAGACAGAGGCGATACACTTCTAGCTTTACACCACTGCCACTGACAGGGCCGAAGAGGAAGAGGAGGAAGAGGAAGAGGAGACCTGTGGGCCAGTGTCAGAGAGCACAGAGGGATGTTTCATCTGTGTTACGTTCTTTTCATTCCCCTGAGGACATGATGGTTACTGTGTTACATCCATTTCGCTCCCCCTGCCTGCATCCTGTGAGACTGTGATGCTGCAACAAACTACAGTGTGTGTGTGTGTGTGTGTGTGTGTGTGTGTGTGTGTGTGTGTGTGTGTGTGTGTGTGTGTGTGTGTGTGTGTGTGTGTGTGTGTGTGTGTGTGTGTGTGTGTGTGTGTGTGTGTGTGTGTGTGTGTGTGTGGTACAAACTGATACATTGACTTTAATCAAATGTATTATGTCAACAATTTCACATCAGGTTAGTTGAAAGCAATAATATTAAGTTGAACCTAATAATACTTTATTTAAACTCAATATTATTGCTTTCCACTAACCCAATACAGCTCTGTGAAATCTGTTGACATCGTATATTTAATTAAAGTCAACGTTTCAGTTCTTTCAGTGTGCTTGTGTTTGTCCTCACACAAGAAAAAAGCATTGTGGGTATGAAGCATTTTATCTGTGAAACAGGTTTGTGTGGTCACTTAACGAGAGGGGGGAGGGTGTTTATTTATGTGTGTAAATATTTATTTATATTAATTTAAATGGATGGTTGTGTAAATAGGTGCACCAGCTATTTTGGAGTAGGCCTATTTATCTGTGATTCGACTTTTGTGAGCCGGAGGGGGGTGGGGGGTGGGGGGGGGGGCAGTGTTTTTCTGTTCTTATAGAGCTGTTGTCATGGTGCTGATGATGGGTAGACATGCTTCTAATTGTCCAGTGATTTCATTTCTATCACATTGATAATAAACCATGTGTTTTATTATGCAAGGTGTGCAAGCCTGCGCCTTTTCTCCAGTGAATCATCCACTAAAGTCCCACTAAAGTTTGGGAATCAGAGTCACCATATCCAAAATGTAAAACCTGGTATTCTTTGGCTGATGTCAGACAATTTAACCAAATTTGTTTTAATGAAATATTAAAGAACGCCTCAAGAAATAGTATACATTTCCCAAATCAAATTCCACTTTCTGAACGACTGAAATTGGAGTTGGACCCCAAAAATATCCTCTGGTTTTAAATGTGACGGTTTCAAATTTGCATTGAATCTGATTTAGTGTGTATTTAACAACGTGTTCATCACAAAATAAATGTCTAAATGGATTAGGTACCAGTGTAAAAAAAAATATTACTATCTAATTAATGGAACATAAAGCATAACATATTTTAATTTCATTCCAACTATTTGCAGCAGCAGACAGTCAATTTTCTGTCATTGAGAAGTAAGAATTTCAGATATTCATCAAAAAAACAAACTCATAATATCCCTCAGTCTGAATTAAACAATAATCTGAGTAAAATCTATCCTTACTGTACATGGAAAACGGGTGATATTAAACAGCAAAATCTTTGATTCAAATGCAAATAAAAAAGGAAACTCCAACACCAAAATGTAAAACATGGACCGAGTGATACATGACAAACTAAATTAGTCTTTAAGGTTTTCTGTTGATATATGTAGGTTTACCTTAATAGACTTAATTTGAGGATATGAGTGAGGATAATTGAGTATATTCCATAAATGACAATAGATTAAAGTAGTAACAGTTATATTATTTTTACACAAAAAGTTCAAAATTGATGAAAAGTGACCTCTATTTTGTTATTGCTGACTATTAAAGATTTTCTGAAATTCTTACACATTTAAGGCCATGTTCAAGATTAATATTCAAAATAAGAATATGTGTTTACAATCATATATATATATAGCTTTGTTAGGCAACTCTATCTGGATTATAATACTGCAAAGGCTCTGAAACACGCAAACACACAATGATGGATACTGGGAGATAATTGGCTGCATTTTCCGGTCAGAGAGGCTCTCGTTTCAGGGAGGCTTCTCTCTCTCTCTCTCGCACGCGCGCAGGGGGAATAGAATCGTGCCTCGCGGGCCCGATGTGCGGTGGGGCTCTACCGCCGGTGTGCTAATGACGGGAGAGCGCGACACACACAGAGAAAAAGTAAAGGGAGAAAGATAATGAGAAAGAGAGACGGAGAGAATACGAAGCTCCAAAGGCGGAGAGACAGATTCGATTTTTTTTAAATAACTTAAAAACCATAACACTGTCATTCTCATTACAGACCACCTTAAAAAAAAGGGAAACTCCTAGACACCTTTGTCTGTAAGGAAATATATAGAAAAGGGTAATCTTATCTCAAAAAGCATCCTTATAACCATTTTTAAAACAAAAATCCATTAAAATCTAAAATCAACCAAACTGTGCATTGTACCACCTTGAACAATGTGCTTTGGCAATTTGTGATATGGTGATAAAGCTTCTTTAAATATGAATTTGAGAATGAGTAAAAGAGGAAGAGAGTCAGAAGTCATGTTGTCTGACAGACAGTTAAACATGTTTTTTTGTTATGTGTAGAGTATTGGTAGATATTTTTGAGAGACGCAGAGAGGATACTGACATAATGACAATAGTGTGTTTTGATATGGTCATGCCAATAAAGCTTCTTTGAATTTGAGAGAGAGATGGGAGGGTGGGAGAGATAGAGAGAGTGTCCCGCGGGCTCAGTGTGACCCGTGGAGTGGAACGCCGCGTGACGCAGGTGCAGAGTTCAGCACCCGCATGTCCGCGAGCGATTCTCGCTCAACAAAGACAGGAAGCTGCTGAGCATCAGGACTACAACACCGACAGGTTGGCTGCAACCATAAACAAACAAGCCGAAGATAACACAACAAAACACACGGAAGAGAAACGTTTCCACTAATTACTCGAGCAGCTTTCTTTAAATAAGACAGTTACAAAGTCCCTTTAATCAATGTGAGGAAAACTGAAGGATATTTGAATGGTAAACTTGACTACTTCAATTATTTATCTGGCTGACGTGTCGATACAAAGGTGTTTCATACACTGTTTTTTTCTTCTTATATTGGAATTAAAAGAAAAATAAATAGCGTATAACCTATAGGCTACCAGAAATGAAAATTATAGAAAAGGTCTGTCAGACAATATGGTCTCAAAGTCTTCCGGCTGTAGGCCTATTCTTAACATTTTCAAATAAAGAAATAACCAGTAATCTAAATAATGTAATGAATAGGCTGTGTACTAATGTGTACTGTTGATACAAATATATAAAGATGTTGGGATAAATGGAAGATTTAAGATGGTTCCAAAGCAGAAAGAGAACATTACAGATAATCCTAAATAGGCATTAAAGCCCAATAAAAACGATAATAAATCAAATTTCTTTAAATTACATTTTCAAATGAAAATTCAATTAATGAATGGAAAAAAGATAATGTCTATAATTAAAGTAGCTTTGGCAACTGCTGTTTATGTTGTCCTGCCACACAACCTGATCTTAAGGAAACAGAACTGAATGAATTGTCAGGAAAGTGCCTTTTAGATTGTTAACTTATATTTGATCAAGTATTTTTCATCTCCAAACCTAATAACTAACACCAGTGGTCTCTGTAGGTTGTGTGTCCTTTGCGATCACAGTTAGTTGTGTATTGAGCCTCAGGCCTCTTGGAAAGCTTTATTGTAAAAGTCGAGGCTGCATCTACACAAATGAGTCTTCCAATATTCTGCAAATATCATAAATTACAGTAATCCTATTATATAAGGCTATTAACACCTTCGTTTGGTTTGGAGGCTTATGAGAAGTTTACAAATACATTTTTCAAAAGTACTTTTTACGGTGGGGACAGAGAAATATATTTACAGTAAACACACTACAAGGCTACCCAGAAAAAATGTTGGTAACATCTGTTATATAATATGTAATTCTGACTAATTGTGTGGCACTGATTTGTAAATTGTAGGTTGTAATTAAAAGTGCAGTTCATTTAAAACAATGTCTTACACTGACAGTCTGCAGCATACAAATCAGCTTTCACACTGCGTCCTATATGGCTTGCATGAGGTTTCAAATCCTTTCTAATACAGATGTGTCCTACAACACCATACTTTACTCCAACCAGATATTCAGTCAAATACAGAAATACAATATCGTACAAAAAACAAGTCAAGCTGGAGGCAGATTTAACTAGTTCATAACGATGTATAATATCATATTCTGAGTTAACTTCAGCTCTCTAGATTCAGTTTGTACACACTTGGCTGTGCCTGTAGTCAACAAAGGACCATAAATGTTTACAAAACTTTATTGAGCAGCTTTCTATTTTGTTTGCATTGTTTTCACCCGCGGAGGATAGAGGCCTACAACAATATGGAAACTTACAAAGTTGGAGCTTGTCAATGGTTACTGATTCCAGAAATCAATGCAAGCTACAGGGAGTTTAAAAAGTACAAGAAACAAAAACGTGTGTGTCAACACTTTAATGTTTCATCTGCTTGCCTCACAAAATCCTACAAACTCTCATTTAAACAGTTGTTTCATAAGTAAATATGAGTTAATCAACTTCCAGGCTTACACAGGAGTCATTCGAGCTCTCTAGTGATATTATCTAAATCCTGTTTCTAATATTATTGACCTTTTTTTTTTTAACCGAGTGCAAAATGGAGCAAACAGAAACTAAGAGTCTGGAGTGGAAAAAGTCAGCGTGTGTTAGCCTCTGCATGAATCCTAGCACCACTATTATAGAAAGTAATAATGACTCATGATGGAATAACTACTTTTGGATTATTATAGACATTCCCTTTGAAGTAATGTCATTTCCTCGTGTTTTTTTAGTGTGCATTAGTTTTGGAAAACTCTTCTCTGCAACGACCTGTCAACGTTTTTGGACAGGCCCAACATGGCTCCTGCAGATCGTGCTGAAACACATCACTTCCTGTGCAAAATGTAAAGATCCACCAGCTGCCCAGTGTTCCTGCAGGAGCTAAATATAAAATAAATGACTGGTGTTTGATGAATTGATGATAATGGGAGGCTAATCTTATTTTTATGAAAACGTCACAGGCTGTTATACTGTAATGAGAGGCCAAGTGGAAGGTAACCGGGTTATGAACATGGACTGAGCTTATGAAGACATTGGCAATATTTGATATACAAACTATGGGAGCACAGTGACACTGTTTTCTTTATGCATCTCTGTCA